ATTTCACAAATATTTCTAGCGAGTCACCAAGGCCCTACAATTGCCTTACAATTCCTCAGCGCCTAAACGCTCTCTCGTTCTTGAAGCGAAATACTACTTCCTTTTCGCGTGTCGAACATTCCTCGACGATGGCTCATTCTGTTGCCACATGCGATTCCTTTCCTCTCTGCTAAGATTTCTGCCTAGTCCAAGACAGATGAAGTTCGATGGTTTCTCTGGATTTCTAACAACAACATAAACGCAGTCACAGAATAAGAAATTGCTTAGCGTACCAGTAAAAGTTGCCACAATCAGGTCAAATGTCGCCTATTGAGATAAAATAACAGACAAAAGATGACATCATAGGTAGGTACATATCTTGCTAGTGTAGAGGAGCAAAACATTACCGTAGAAGGGATGAGCCCAGTTCAACAAAAGTAAACAGATGCTCAAAATCCGGTCATTATCTACTGTTATCGTTCAGAAAGTAACGCAGGATTTTTGTAAGTATATCATTTCATATCGATGCTATACAGCTGTTTAGCCCTAATTATGCATACAATTTTTCCTCCTCATGTGTACTTTTTAATACAAATTGTTAATTAATTGTTTCTAATTCTGACTGAAGTTGCACAAAAGGCACATTGATCAAACAACGAGTAAAAGTTCGGATTTTTCTGACCTAGCGTGGCTAATGAGCCACCAATTTCTTTCAATTCACATATTATATATAGAATTAGGTGTAAAATACGACGTGCTTCATAATTTCCCAAGATCGAGAATCATAATTGAGAAATATAATTTTTTTCAAGTAATGGTCTTCAAAAGTTTGGGATCTTTTGCTTCCCTTATATTAATGGTTGTATCTTACTGTTAGTTTTGATTTAATCATTGGTTATTATGTAATTTCAAAACAAATTCATGTAAAAACAATCATTATCCCCATGGCAGAGCCTTTTTAACCTACAGTCCGAAATACGAAATTGAAATTGTATTTCAGCAGTTCAATCTTCAAGAAAATAATGCTCTCAAGAGTTCTCAACGTTATTGCAGTCGATTAGGCAGAGAGAAAATAATCTCTCACGAAAAAAAAACATTCTCACAATAAAATTGGCCTCTCAAAGAGTTCGAATGATGGTCGGCACGTCTCGTCCCCAGACATCCCAACCAAGCAACCACTTTTTTCTGTTTTTCCCCCAGTCAATGGAAGTCCAAGTGCAGCTCAACATTAGCCGAGAGCTGGCGAATATTACAGAAGATATCCAGAGGAGGAAATATTGTTGAGCTTCAACAGCAGGATACAGCATTCAACAGCATGGCTTCTGTACATTAACGGTTGACCTGGACCTAAGGCCAGAGGTAAAAATTTGTGCTCAGCGACAAGTGGAATTTTTGCTTTCTTGAGTATGATATGCTGAGCTCTATGAAGTGTTCTGAGAATCCTCGTTTTGGTTATCAGACTCCAACATTCAGAAATAGTGGAAGTGGAAGTACTGTTATGGGAAGGTGTCCGATCATTCGGCGATTCCCCAATTTCAAGTATCCAGCAAAATGTGGGCTGGGTTAGATACAGGGATAGTCTGAGGAATACGGCTTTCATAGATATATAGCTAAGTCTAGCTGAAAAACATACATTTTCATCACGGAAATGATCCGATGCAGGCCTACCTCATCATTGCCGCCTTCCTAAACCCGAAACAAGGCTCTCATAAAGTGGCAAGTCACGATCTAAACTCAAACTGAGTTTTACACCCCAGGGAAGGGCAGTCTAAACTATCAATCAATACAATCAAGTACAATCTAAACTCTAGTAAATAGTCCCCTCAATCAAATTGGATCAGTTCACAAAGTGTAGGGTTCTGCTCAACAGTCCTAAAATCACGTTCCAATCAATTCTATGTCAATAAAGACGATAGTAGCATAGAATTTTTCGGTTACTCATGAAAATGCTATTTTCTCACGTGAATTAAAGCTATTTTGCTGGATTGCTCTGAAATTGAGGAGTTCCCATACTTTTGACGCGCCCTTAATTATGAAAAAATCCAATTTTCTGATTGAGATTTTCGATTATTTTGCGCTTTTGTGCCTAATTTCATATCGGACAAAATGACCCCTCGATGACGCAGCTCTTGGTCCAACTAGGTGATCTGCTTTAACAGTAAATGCCCAATTCACAGTCAGCACTGAAAGCTACACCAATTCCGTACTGTCCTGCAATACAAAACACGACCTTCTATTCCGTGAATGACCGATTTCGGAGTCGTTCTCAGCTGTCCATTTGCTACCAACCACAGCTCTCATTGTGCTATCGTGGGACATCCCTTTATCAAACGGCCCCCACAACGAGTACAAAAATTCTGGTTTTCTTGAAGATATGGGCAGAGTTGCTTGCAGAGTGCACTGTTTGTTCGCTTACTAAGGGGATGCCGAACCAATTCCGCCTTTCTAGTCAAACCGAGAAGCTTCCAAGCTTAACTGTTGAAGCATTCAAACCTTCCAAGTTTTTATGTAGTTTGGCAATGACTCGATTCAGTAGTTTTCTTTGGTACTTTGTTATCAACAGCTCAGGTTGGTATGCATGGTCCTCGTCCTCACGAGGGGGCGACGGACTTTTGGCTCGTCCGGGTTGGCACACGGCAAATTGCGCGGCGAGCGGCGCGGCAGTCCCGACGCATCGCGGGTATTCAACACGTCAACGTGTGAAGATTGCGGATAAAATCCACAAGGTTCTGCAATGCGAAATGCATCTGAACGGCCGAAATTTTGAAGACAGCGGTGGTTGTAGCAATAGGAAGAGATGAGAAGGAAGTAGCATAGTGCTGTTATGGCAATTAGGGCGGTCACTTTGTTGGGTTAGGGGGGACGTTCCATTTGGGGGATGTGAGTGAGACAATTACTGTGGTCGGGACCGAGACTTAGGATGGAGAATTGATTCTGGGGGAAAAAGCTACCCTAGGACCGAACCCGGCAGAAGGGTTCCCTGGCGTTCTTCCCCTTTGCTGGGCTTAGTCCTAGTGTCACCTACCATCAACCCTGTTTTGTTGTTGTTTTTTGAATGTTTCTCTTCTGGACGTGAGCGCCTCGATCACCAAAACATATATAGTTGACATTAAACCTCAACAAAAACTCCCAATTTCAGTGAATCTTATTTGCTTTGATGATAGTAATTACTTTTACATGAGGACCTCTCTCATCTCTTGCGCTGAAATCTCCTCACCGATACTGCTGCCTCCAATCCCCGTGAGCCGAAAGATTTTCAAGCAACAGAACCATGCGGAGTTTATTCGCAATCCGCACACGCATTAACGTGTTGAATTCTACCCGAAGAACCGAAGCCTTGTTCCGTCCAAATCGCCGCGCGTGCCGCCGCGCAACTCGCCGCGTGCCAGTCCGGACGAGCCAAAAGTCCCGCACCCCTCACGAGGAGCATGCATACCGACCTGAGCTGTTGATATTTACCACAAGCTTGGAAGCGACGGAACCATGGCTGTAACTGCCTCGGAGACTGACCGTGGCTGTTGAATGTTTTGTACATTATGTGATAGAAATCGATGACCGCTGTTCCTTGTTTGACGGCGTGCCAAATGCACCAACGAGGGTATCGTTTTGACTCAAAAAACTGAATTTTTGGCAGGGCAGCCATTGTTCCCTGAAATTCAATGTATCCTGCTGTGCGTCAGAAAACGGCCTTCCGATTAAGTACCCACGCTTTGTGAGACATTATGATCTAACATGGAAGCAATGACACAATAGTGAGCGACATTTCTTTCCTGCCAACCTAATAATACGTGAATTCGGAGCAATTTTATTGTTTATTGGATACGCTAGGTCAAAGTAAAAGTTTCCAAATTCTTGTTCGCATGTGACTAGTTGCATAGAGTATCCGTAAGCACTCGTTAGTCACTGGCAAGGAGCTTTCGTTAGAATTCGCCTCATGTCATGGCAAACGATATGTTGAATGTTATGTGTTGGTCAGTTATCGTTAGTTATCCAGCCATACTTTCTATTAAAATCTACAAAACGAACTGTCCAAAATCCCCTTCACGAAGTTAGGAGCGGTGGATGTTACATCAGTCATAAGGTCATAGGGTCAAAAAATTATGTGTGCCATAAGGTTCAAATCAGACAGCGAAGACACCTGGTTCCGCGTCTTCTACCAGTGCTTGTACGCTTTCATTCTTTGCCTCACCAAATTTGGTGCAACTTCCGTATAGTGGTTATTTGGTGTCCTGATTACGAGTATGGCATTCATTGGATTGGGCATTGCAATTTTGCGCCTATTTTCTATCGTAGAATTGTAGAACGACTCCTCATGCCGTTGAGATAGAGAATGTGCTCTCGGTACTTATAATTATTTTCAACGATTTTTATTTGAAGCACGCCAGAGAGTTTAGAAGGTTTAGAGATTCTTCCCTCTTTGAAGAAGCTGGACAAGCAAGAACGACTCTTTCGCAAAACTAGCTTGTTATAGTAGTAACAGTTCGACTCTGCTCGCTGTCGCACGCATATCAAAGTAGGCTTCAGCAGAACTGACTATAGCCGGACTTTCGTTTTAGGCAGCATGCATGTTTAATGTAACATATGTCGTTGAAGCTGGTCCTTGGGAACTGGTCAACTTTTGAAGCTTCGCTCTTGACCCATTAATTGCAGAGGCGTCTTGACTGAGGATGGAAACTAAGCATTGTTAGCAATTTGTGTAATTATGTTCTCCAAGTACCTAGTTACAGAACGAGCCGCAAACGCCTCTGCCAATTGTGATTTGTCCCACTGAAATTGACAGCATCAACATAACATTGGAAAAGAACCAACAATGTGCTTGCAAAGTGAGTAATGTTTCCAATTTCAACCTGATAACTGATTACTCTTTGCAAAAACTTGATTTTAGGACTGCGGGAAACTGTTCAATTCAGTCTGGTACTTGAAACAACATGCAGTGAAGCACTCAAATGATCGCCCATTCAAGTGCAAATTCTGCTTCAAGGTAAAACATCATTGTTCAGGTAGTATGAAAGCTAACTGAAATGGAAATTCAGACCTATAAGTTTCGCTCGAACCTCTATCAACACAAGTGCCCTGATCGTCAGAAGCAGTTGTCGCATGGGAAGTGAGTAATAACATTGGATGTGTCACTCAATTTTCCAATTTACTACGTAAATGTGTTGTTCTTGTGATGCATGCTTTTTTGTATGTCCCTTTTCCTTCAATTCATTCGAAAAGTTCTATCTTCTCAAACCTGAACATAAATGCGTATTCTTTCACAAACAAAGCACATTAAACTGGAATGGAAATCATTAGAATCTGCAAGCCAGACCACACGGACCAGTCCAAAGGATCTGGAGCACTGTGGCAAATACCGTGCTGGGACGCTTCAGGAAGGTATTAGGCGACGCGAAATGAGTAGGAAAGGCAGCGGGATCTGCAACGAGGACGTTGAAAGTGTTGCCGAAAGGAAGTGTCCAAGCAGCGATAGAAGACGCGGACCAGAGGACTTTGGTCTGCAACAACTCAAGAGCTTGCCAAGGCTGCTGTAGCCGACACGAAAAACACTGATGGACACTTTGTGCAAGAAGCTGGAGAGCCGATACGTGGAGAACTTTGCCTCCAGGCTGGCTGAGACGGTCTTCAGACTACTCAAGACATCAGAGTGATTAATAGTTTAACGAGCAGCACAATTCTGACGAAGACAGTCAAGATCTAGTGCACTGTCAGTTTGATTCCAGGTGGTGATTACCTCATCGTAGTGAGTATCTGAATACCCACGTAGGCAATGACAGCAGAAGAAAGGAAAGGGTGCGCGAAGACAGAGGGATATGAGTGAGAAACGAAAAGAAGGTTCTGGACTTGCAACAGCTCACGATTTGGCCTGCTGTAGCGTGTTAAGGGGTGGCCCAGAAGATAACCCACACCAGTGGAGGGAGACAAATGGTAATAGACCGTGTGCTCTTAGAAGAATGTCCCTCAAAGCAGTGAAGGACGAGGCGAGAGGTGGAAAGCGAAACAAGGCATGATTCTGTAGCGAGCATGTTCAGCGGGTTATGAGGCAGAAAAAGGATTCATACAAGTGCTGACATGGGACCTGAAGGAGGAAACCTCGCTGTCTACAAGAGTTGCGAGAGATTTGCTGAATCAGTTGGCGTCAAGGTAGAGAACACGGAAATGGACGATTTCACGAGAAGTTGGCAGTTGATCTACAACGGCCGAAATTTAGTAATGAGCTAGTCAAGGCATCTGGTTGTAGAATGTACATATAGAAGGTATTAGGTTTGCGCATTTGGCAACGTTTTTTCAAATTTGTTTTTCTTTCTTATTGCAGACGATTGCTCAATACATACACCACCATAATCGTAGAAACATTGCTCTTCAGCTGGCAACTTCAGGTTGCCGGCCGTTCAGAAATTCCGAGTCTTTGGGGCGAAAAGCTCAAAGAGGTTGATTCCGAGTAGGACCGGATCATCCCTATTTCAGTAACTTTCGGCAACAAAGGGGATATGGTAGCCTGTCTCTACCAGGTTGCTGTACGCACTAACTATAAGTTTGAATCATAGAAGTGAGTCTACTTGAATCACTGTCATCAATCAATTTGTGTCTGAAAAGGTTCAAAATAGAAGCTATGAATTTTATTACAGTGCAGGAAAGAGCATATATTGAGCTTGTCAATGATATTCAGCAATGAAATGCTCGAAAGAAAGCTTGTTGACAAAATCTTTAGAACAAGCATGGCATGTAGCAGCTTGCATTACTTTACGGATAACCTAATGCAATGAACTGGCATTCAGTCAACGACGACAACTTTGAGTGAGCAAATGCTGACAGCATTCCGGAGCTGAACACTGTGCACAGTTTGCTAAGAGGAAAAATTGTGGAAAGGAAAGGTCTGCCAAACGAGACTGATTTGAAATGGGTGCATGTGGGTAAGGACCTGTGGAGCTACAAGTAGATAGGAAGGACATCATTGGGAGTAGCTAGGTGAAATGTGTTCAGTCATGACATTAAAAATTATTTGTTTTCTTTATGTTGATCATGACATTGAGATCTGGCGTTCTCAAAATTGCAGTAAAGCTTTTCGATTTCAGCCGTCGTCGAGGAGGCCTGGCAATATCACCTTCAACGCGTCGTTTGGAGTCAAATCAGCTACTCAAATCGCGAATCGATGCAAATGCGATTTCAGAAGACTTGGTGACGTAAGACTTAAATTAGTTGGGGGCTCACCTCATGAGATGGTATGGTAATGAGTTTTATCACGAGGCTTTCCGTACTTTCTAACACCTTGACGACAGCGTGACTCATGAACTACATGAATGCTTTGTCACTTTGCACGCCGTATGGTGCGTTATGGTTCACATGTATGCCACACTCATGTTGTTCGTTTTAACATGCGCGATCTTCCAAATCTCTTTTTTCTTCCATAGCTGCTCTTAGATATTATCACGCGCTGTTCTCAGCCAGTGTGTCTTGCTGTAGCAATAGTTTTCCCCTGCCTCGAAAACTTTCTGTTTGGATTAAATTAGTTTGAATTTTTAGTCCTCCCTTTTTTCTGGGTAATATGCAGTTGTTACAGCTCCAAAATCTAGGACTTTTATTCTTGTCGCAATTTCACCTATGGGGGTAAGCGGCGTCACGGCTGTTTTTACCATATATAGTGGAAGCAACACGTAAGAGAATGCTCAATGCTTGGAATGTGTGAGATCAGACCTTGGAGTGTTTATCACTCATATGTAGTGAGGTTGAGGTGAGGCGGCCGTGCCTGCAAAATTGCACCGTTTGTGCGCTGCGCGCGCCGAAACGCACACTGTCGTGAAGGTGTTAATCATTGTTGTTTTGAAGTGATGAGCTACAGAATATTAAGGTACCAGATATCGCTTTCTGATAGTGAAGATAATGATCTCCCAATAACTTATGGACTTGTCATTCACAAACTCGAGGAGGCTCCGCAGAAAGTCCGACCTGACACAACGGTAAAGCAAAGAAAGGTGGAGAGTTCATTTGCAAGTGATTTACGCAGTTTTTTTCAGCAGAGTGAAGCTGCTGAGGAGCCGAATTCAGTAGTAGACAACCCCACCTTCCTTCAGAAACGAAGAACTGATTGTGTTCGAGATCAACCTCTTCCACAAGAAGAAATTGATGCCTATATTGCCAGAAACAAGTCAAAGGTCTGGTCGACATTGCATTGGTTCTGTCCTTATGTTTTTTATGTAAAGTAGCTCAAAAGTTTTTGGCCAAATTCTTTTTCGACCGTAACTTTTTTCCGCCATATCATATTCCTTCAAATTTTGATATGTTTTGAGGACAAGCCCTTCTGTTGAATGGGAAAACAAAAGGTAAACTTCAATTTATTGTAAAAAGCTCACAATTCAACAGAACAGTCGACCGCATGGAAATAACGTCGAGCAGATTTAGTACTTCGTGGATAACTTTTGAGGTCACTGGGACGTTAGCAGAACCTTTACTTATGCGGCTCGTCCTCAGTTCATCTACGAGCACCAGCAACAAACCATTCGTTTTGTTCTTTCGCAATCGCTATCCATGGTTGTTGCAGAAGTCGGCGAAGACTGCGTTTTGAAGCATCGTTCAGCTTGTCATGTACTCCACAGTGTATCGGAGACGGGACATTCTGCGTAGGTCTGCGCTGCGAAGTCCGGCTCGATGTTGCGTAAACAAATAAAACCTCAGAAGACATCGTTCGAGCGCTCTGTGAGCTACAGTCAAGGTCCTTGACGTGGATGCACTGCTCACCCATGTCTCAGCCGCGTAACAGAGCGCAGGAGGAACTGTAGAACTAAACAAATGCGCACGAATTTCTGGAACAGCCAGACGGTTGCTAAATTCTTAGAACCGAAGGCTGCCCACGCTGCTCTCTGTCGTCTTCCTAGCTCTCCGTTCATGTCGTTGTCCATGCTCATAGAGCGCCCGGGATAAACGCAAGATGTGGCATCCTTGGTAGGCATGCTATCAATTCCGCCTCCATCGGACCAAGCGTACATCATAAACTGTGGTTTTTTTGGTTAATTTGCAACCCCATCTTCTTTCCTGGTTCATTCAATTCAGCGAGCATTGTTTCAGCTTCAGTAGTACCTGAGAAGGGAAGGATATCGTTGGCTAAGCGCAGATCAGAGAGGTACAGTCCATACACACGAATACTTTTCTCATCCCAATCGAGCGACTTCAGCATCCACTGCAACGCAGCTGTAAACAACTTGGCGAGAAAGTGTCGCCTTGTTTTACGACCTTCCCCAAAGGGATCGTGAGAGATCGTTGGAAGAGTTGCACTGTTGCGGTGCAGCGACGATTGCAGTCGGCGTGTTCTTGCATATGACGGTTCCACTCCTTCCCTTTCCTTTAATGCTGACAGGATCGCGTTCGTTTCTACACTGTCATAAGCCTTCTCGTAGTCAACGAAGGTAGGGCAAGAGGCATTCAAGAGGAATTCTCGACACATCTTTATATAAGGGCTTTTCGAAATCTGTAGGTGGGAACATCATTATGCCGAGCAGTGTAAATAAACGTCGAGCGAGGTATCCCTATCCCTACTATTTATAATGCGCTAAGTCTGTCTGTCTGTCTGTCTGTCTGTCTGTCTGTCTGTCTGTCACGAAATTCCGTATTAAGCGGACAACAAATTACTGGGTCCAGGTCATGTTTGGGATGGGTGTACCACACCTCGAGAAGTAAAAAACATACATTACCTAAGCGGAGCCCCGCCCACAGTGGGCGTGGCGTGCATCGAAATGAGTGGCACTGAGGACCATGATTTCGAATTCACTCACAAAACAGCCTCGAGACCGGGACAAAAGTGGGCATAGGTGTGGGTTGGTAAGCCAGATTGAAGTGAGGAGACCCACCCTCGGTGGGCTGGGCGTTTTCTAGAAAATGGGTGCTCAGTGAAAATATTCATAACTCGGTTAAGAAGAAGCCTACAGACCAGAAACGAAATTAGTGCAGGGGAGCAATGCCTAAGGTATTTCCACCACGCATGATGTGAACGGAGGCCCGCCCACAATGGGCGGAGCGTGTCGTGAAGCGGACAGCGTTTTCTACAAGAGCTCATAAATCGGCTCCGAGATGACTTAGAGACCGGAAAACAGCGGATAGAGGTCAGGAGGGGAGGGGAAGCTAAATGTCAAGAACGGGCGTGGCTTGCATCAAAGTGGGCGAGTTTGCACATGGAAATTTAGCTTCTCCTGCCCTCCGACCTCCATCGTTGTTTTCCGGTCTCTAAGTATCTCGGAGGCTCATAACTCAGTTCCTAGAAGTCCAGAGTCCGGGAAAAAAGCGTATAAGGTTGGCAGAGGAAAGGGTCAACCGTTTGTCGGCGGCGGAATTCAGGGATGGCGCTTCCATCAACAGTTGGGCGGAGTTGCACATGAAACTTAGCTCTACCCTGCCCTGTCTGACCTCCATCGTCTGTTTCCGTTCGCAGTATCTCGAGCTCCATAAATCAGTTCCTAGAAGTCCGCAGAGCCGGGAAAAAAAGCGATATAAGGGTGGCAGAGGGAAGGGTTCAAACGTGTGCGGCCAATAAGTTCCCTGAGATGGGAAAAAAGTAGAAAGAAGTTGGGGGAAGAGATTGTAGTCAACTGTATACCAGGGTAACCATGCCACCAAAGTAGCGGGTTGCCCCGAAGATACGTGGTCTCAATGTCGTGCCTACAAGACCTCATAATCGCTCCGAGACGAACTTAGAGACGTGAAAAAATGAAAAGTAGTGAGAGAGACGTAGAGTAATGTGAACGCTGGCGTGGGCAACCACGTCGATAGTTGGCTGAAGTTTGCCACCACTCTCATAACTCGATTCCTAGAAGCCCCAGCGCCCGAAAAAAGTGGATAAGGGTCGCCGGTGGGAAAGGGGTTAAATACTATTGGTGGGCTAAATGTGCACCAAAGTGGGCGGAGTTTGCCACGAAAGCTCATGTCTCATAACGTCTTCTACAAGACCTCATAATTCGGTCCGAGATGACTTAGAAACCTGAAAAAATATGTGAAGAGGTGAGAGGAGGAGTAGAGGTCGAATGTGAACGCTAGGCGTGGCACACCCCGAAGTGGGCGGAGTTTGCCACCACTCTCATAACTCGGTTCCTAGAAGCCCCAGCGCCCGGGAAAAAGTGGATAAGGGTTGCCGGAGGGAAAGGGATAAATGCTATTGGTGAGCTAAGCCTGTACAAAAGTGGGCGGAGTTATGCACGAAACATTATTACTCGCATCCAAGAAGACTCTGACACCAGGAAGAAAGTATAGAGGTCAGCGAAGGTGAAGTCTCAGTGGGCAGGACGGGGGAGTTACCCATGATTTTCGAAAGGGGAGTGTCTCCGAAGCAGTCGTACCTTGGAATCTCACGCAGCTCTGCAGTAATAGAGAGAGAACATTGCTTACAGACCAGCCTTACCATCTTCCAAAAAAACCCTGTCTTGGAAGAAAGACCCTCTCCGAAACCGCCTTTTGTTGGAATCTTACTCAGCAGCTCTGCAGTAATTGAGGGAGAGCATTGCCCACAGACACGATTTCTCAACTACAAAACCTTTTCAGAAGTGAAAAGCTTACCCTGCCCCAAACCCTCTCCGAAACCATCGTCCCTAGGAATCTCACTCAGGAGCTCTGCAGTTATAGTGAGATAACATTGGTCACAGACACAATTTTTCAGGCTTACCACCTTCCGAAAAAAAACCCTGTCTTAAGAAAGACCCTCTCCAAAACGTCGACCCTTGGAATCTTCTCAGCAGTTCTGCAGTAAATGAGAGACAATATTGCCCATATACAGAATTTCTCAACTAGAAAACCTTCTCGAAAATTGAAAAATATCATGCCCCGGAAAAAACCCTCTCCAAAACCGCCGTCGCTTGGAATTGTTGTTTTCGTTCGCACCTAAAGATTGGGTACTGTCTTCTGATCGATTCTGTCTGAAACACGTAGCTCAATGCGGTGTAGGAAATAGAAAATATAGTTTGACCGAATAGTCGGTGTAAATGGAATGTACCGAACGGAAAACTAAAATCTAGAAAAGAATAATGATCAACCTATTTGAACCCCCCTGTGATGCGCGCGAATGCGTGCGCAGCCAAACTGGTTATGAAATGATTCGCTTTTTCAGCACAAGGATACTTGTTAATGGATAAATCCGCTACAGAGGAGAATATACGCTTTTATGAGAATGTATCAGTAAGAACAATAAGTGTGCAGTTCTTCTGTGCCGTACAGGTTTTTTACAGTGGGACATAGTATAATATTTATTGGTCGACGTTTTGACAATTCGTCCTCTTCGAGACCAGCTGTTCCACCAGTCTCCAGCAGCTTCCTCATATCAGAAAATTTCTTCTCATGCTAACTGACACGAGGAGGCTTCCAAGCCTGGTGTAACAGCTGGTCTTGAAGACGATGGATTGTCGAAACATTGACCAGTAAAGGTGTTCCACCATAATAACACCGTGCAGCAACTGACAAATATGCGAGATGCCGAGTTCCAAAAAGACCAGAAATGAAATTTATTGAGAAATAGCAATAAACAATAAGTTCTGCCCGTAACCCAGAACCTTTGAGACAGCTTTCACTTGGCGAACCGCGACCGAAAGCACCAGTGAGTAATCAAAAACAAATACCTTAATTTCCAGTAGATAAGCCCGCGCCAATATCACGTAAAATCACCTCCGCTGGTGCAGTGCTCTTGCGTACATCTAGAGACAACCGTAACTTGCCTATAGAAGTAATTCGATATGCTGTTTACAAAAAAACACATTCATTTTTAGCGGTGGTGCCATGCAGCGCCAGCTGGCGTCACCTTGTCGCGACCCTTGTTTTCACCAAAACCAGTGTAATCCTCCGTATAGGGGTTATTTGGTGCCCTGATTATGAAGACGACATTCGTTTTCGGCATTGTTGTTCAACACATATTTCTTGGTAGGAGCAGAAAAGAAAAACGCCAAATAGCTCCACGGCCGAGGAAAGTCATAACCGTAATCAAGACACCAAATAACCCCTACACGAAAGTTTACACCAAATTTGGTTAAGATAGGTGTCGCGACAAGCTGAAGCCAACTGGCGCCGGATGGCGCCACCGCAAAAAATGAAAGTCTTTCACGGTACTTTCCAAAGTGTACAAAAATAAACTGCACGAGCAGGGGTGTTTTTACATGATATTGGCGCGGACTTAGTATCTACCGAAAATTAGGGTATATGATAC